ACACACCTTTGTGTTTCTATCTACTCCTGAGCTGGCAGCTGGCCGAGGCTGCTTGGAGAACGGCTCTTCTCCAGGGCCCAGAGTTTCCTTGACGACTGTGCGCGTCACTGATGCCGAAGAACTGGATGCATCCAGAGGAGGAGTTCGGGGTTTGTGCAGCTTCTTATAGACCCCCAGCTTCCTCTTGAGCTGCTTCAGCTCCACTGACGTCTTCCCTTGGGAACGGGTAGTCGTTGTGGGCTGGTGTCGGGAGAGGACGTTGACTCCGTGGAAAGGTCGGCTTCTTTCCACACTACTTAATTTTTTCCCCAAGTTGTCGGGTACCGGTATAATCTCCACAGCTGTCTGCTTCTTTTGGAGTCCCTCCCGATTTTTTCCAAGGCTCTAGCTCCTCGAAAATCATAAGTTTTCATTAAAGCATCTTTATAAGATAACTTTAATGAATCCTTAAACTTTCTTGGGTCTTCAAGGAGTTTCCCCGTCTCGGCAGAGTCTTTTTTTCCGGAGTCGTATTTTTCCTCGGTGATTTTCCCTGGCGAAGACTGGTCATGGGGTGGAGATTTTCCCCCATCATTTCCTCCTTCTCGCGTCGAATCAGCTTCGTCGAAGTTGATTTTCCCGGAATCCCGCGGCCGCTTCCGGATCTTTTTATTTTCGCCAGCTAGATCCGCAATCACGGGCGACTCCCGTTTTTTGTCTTCTGATTGGCCGAAGGAATTCCGCTACTGTTGCGTGCCCGATACTCAGCGCGTGCGGTTTTCATTTTGTTGCAGTCGAAGATTCGATGACCCGGCACCCCCGCAAAAATCACACGTGTAGTTGGTGTTTTTCGGACGTGGCCGCCCCTCGAACCTGTCGACTTCCATCGGGTCGGCGAAGGTGGGGTGAGCCGAGCGGTCGCCCTGTCGCGTATTGCGGACGTGTGTCCGTCGTGTTCCGGCGTTGACCATGTCGAAGCGCTCCGCTGCCGAAATGACGTCAATGTAGCTCGCGTAGTTTGACGCTGGCACTTGTCGTTTGACTTCGGTCTTCAGCTCAGCGAGGTGCGATTGTACTTTTTCCCCTTCGGTCAGGTCGGGAATGCGGTTATAAAATTCCTCCATCTGCTGCGTGTGCTGCGCTACACTCCCGAACTGTCGGTGTCGATGAATTTTTTCGTGGGCAAGGAAACTCGAATTTATCGGCTCGAAACGTTTCAGCAGGTCGGCACGGAACTACTGCCACGTGGCTTCAGAAGGTACTGTTGCCGCCAATCCACTCGAGTGCCGGCCCTCGCATCTGTGTCGCCGCGAGTCGTACACGTTGACCGTCCCAGACTGGTGAGCTCCATCCGACGGCTGCGAAGTAGATCTCCATCCCCGCGATCCATCTGCGGGCGTCGGAGTTTCGATCGCTCGGATCGAACGGCTCAGGTGGGCGCGGTTTCGGAGCCTCGAGAAACTGCTGCGACTGCTGCGTCGTCGCCGTTGTCGAGTCGTGCTGCGCTCCGGCGAGTCGAGTTACTCGCTCGAATTCGTTTCGCCACGCTTCGCGATCCGCTCGCATCTCCTCCTGAAGGGCTGCGATGCGCGCGAAGAGCTGCTGGGTAACCTCGGCGTTGTCGAAGGTTGCCATCCTGTTCAAAACACGCGCGGGGGGGGTGATTCGAAAAAACGCGGAGCTGGTGCTTACTAGAATCGGCGTCGAATTGGTCGCCCCCGGCGGTTTTTTGAGGCAGGTTTTCCCGCTGCTGCTGCTTTGTTGAGCGCGGCCGAATGAGAAAGGCTCTGATTACCAAGTGTCACAGGATCGAATGTGTCGAGGAAAGATTGCACTATCGATCAGTACAAGGCGCTTTTATACTTCCAGAGTACATCAGGTAACCAGGTTTATCTTATCCTATGGGAATAGACCCTTCTAGAAGATAGAATCACCCTGCGTATAGCCACGCGAGGCTATTGGCTTTAAGGGATTACGGCAGGATTACGCTAGATATAGCGCCCAGTACATCCCAAGCCTGGTCGGTGATATAACTGTACTAGCAGGATAAACCAAAGGTTAATGGAAAGGGGAGAATAGGAAACCAAATGAGATGAGATAAAAAGAGAAATGAAAACAGGAAGGAAGTAGAAAAAAGGCCAAGTGGTGTAACGGGGTCGTACTCTCACAAAAGTCGTCTGGGTCACCCTCTGGGACTAGCAGCATGGAACTGAGATGGGGAGCAGCCTCGGAGAGGAAAGCAAGCTCGTACTGCATGTCCTCTCGGACGTAACTGCCAAGGGCAGGAGCACCCCCGACGGACGGAGGACAGACAAGGTGAGAGACCAGAGCGGTGGCATAGTCAAGGCGATGGGTAGAGGCAAAGTCAGCGACAGCAGCAACAAGCGTCAAGACTCGAGACAGGAACAGACGGGTTGGTAAGGAGGGAGACGGGAACCCAAGGAACAAGAGAACGAGTGGCACGAAGGTAGTAAGACAGAGGTGGAGGCGCGACAGCGAGTGACGACGAAGCAGGTGAAGGCAGAAGGGTAGGACGAGACGCGTGGAAACAAAGCAACATAGGGTGAGAACGCTGAACAGGAGAGACAGGACGAGCACGAGAGGGACGGCGATACCAGACGTGAGACGGATGCCTCGGGTCAGGAGAGTGAGGAGGAGTAACAGGAGGGGAACGAGGTGGGAAACGAGCCGGGGACGAGTCTGGCGGAGGAAACACATGACCGTGGAGAGGAAGGGGAGGAGGCGGCGGGGGAGGCGCAGGCGAGTGGTCTGGGGAGGGAAGGCCGAGCGGGCGAAGGGCGGACACCGTCGGCGACTGCTGCTGCAGCTGCTCGACACTGACACTTGGACCGCCAGCTGCACGACGCCTACCTCCGGAACACTCCACTCCAGCACCCCTAGAATGAGCTCCCCCATAGCGAAAACCCTCTTCAGCACCGGTGCCACCCCCCAGTCCGCCGGGACAAGCCACGACAGGAACCCCCGGGACTAGCACCCTCCTCAACGCCAGCAACCCCAGAGTCCACGAACGGCTGCTGCTGCTGCGACGGTGGCGGGGGTTTTTGCGGTTGTGGCGGAAGCTGCTGCAGCGTCGACTGCGACGACGGAGGAGACAACGTGGGAGAGACATGCGGCGAGAAGTGCGCCGCGGGGCCACCAGAGTCAGCCGACTCCTCGACCTGGACATCCGACGGGAGGGGAGTAACGTGAGACACACAAGACGGAGCAGGACGGGGAGGGAGGGGAGCAGGGGCTACCGGGGGAGTGGGGACCAAAAACAGGAGAGGGGAAATCGGGGGACCTCGTTGGGGAAAGCGGTGGTAAAATCAGACAGTCTCGTCGAAAGTGGCGTCACGGGAGTGAAAGAAGCGGTGAGACGGCGGATGGTAAAAGTGCTAGTCAGACGTGTCAAGGGGGAAGCCGAGGAAGACACAAGGGACAGTGCGGGCAGTGAGCATGTCCGTGCCAGAGGCACGGACGTGAGCGAGACAGCCCTAGACGTGGAACGCGGACGCGTCACCAGGGAACCTAGTCCAAAGAAGGGTAGGCGAAACCTGCGGCCGCTGGGAGCGCGGCCAGAGGTTAAGCTGGTGAGTGGCATAGCGAACGGCGAACGGCTACAGAAAATGGGGTGCACCGGCATGAATCATGGAGGTACGAGCCACCTCCATGACCAAGCCGATGCGTTGCTCAGCGACCCCATTCTACTGCGGGGAGTCTGGTAGGGTGTACGACTGGGTGATGCCCTCCGCACGACAGAACTGTCCAAGCCGACCAGAGGCGAACTCGCCGTCACGGTCGGAGTGGAGACACAGTACAGGGAGTCCGCAGTGGAGGTGCGCAACTATGACACACGGGATAAGAACGTCATGCACGTCGGCTTTCCGCTCCAAGGGAAACACCGTGGTGTAGCGCGTGTAGTCGTCTACGAGCACTAGAAAGTAGCGCTCGCGACGCGGTCCAGGGACAAGGGTTGGGCCCTAGACGTCCAGGTGCAGGGTCTGGAGGGGTGCAATTTCTCTCTAGCAACCCAATTTTTTCCAAGATTGTCCCCACTTCAATAACGGCTCACTTGAAACCCCCCGTTATGCTATTTTAGCCCATGGTTTTAACGAAAAAGAGTCAGCAATTTGCAAATAATGTTCATCATGTGCTAAATGTTACATTATGAAGAATAAGAAGCTGCTGTTTCAAAATCCACAGGAGGTCACGCAATTCCGCCTTTCCTAGGCTCAGTGCTGTGCCGTGCTCTCACCATGGGCGGTTTTGAAGCCATGGCATGCCAGTGGCATGGCATGGCAGCTAAATTCAAACTTCAGCAGACACTATAATTGGGAAGGCTGAGGAGGATGCCTGCCTGACCAACACCCACTGAAGAAACTGTCGGTGTCATTCATATCCACTTTATTGGGCGTTGTCGATGTCCAGTCAGACTCCCACTGAACGGGTTGCTAGATACCTGTTTTTTTCTAGTGTAGATTGTAGGTACATTTGATTGATCCCATATTGAGACGCTGGATATCCCCCTGTAGGGTCCCACCTGCAAGTTGCGCGTGCATGTGCCTGCGCCAGAACCGCACAACTTGGGTGAGGTGGGGTGACGTGGAATGACCCCTTTGCTGGGTCCCAATGGTCCGTTTCTCTCTCAAAACCCTACCCAACCGTTTCAAGTCATTATTCCTACCTTCAGACTCGCATATATACCTAACCACAATCAAACCTACCCAGGGGACGCGCTAAGGTGCACGGGACTTGTGCTGCGATGTGAGTTGTCAATGCTGGTTCCGTCGTCAACGACGTACGAAGCCCCTTTGAAACACTTCGTAACCCGTTAACCTCGCGAATTCCGGTGCGAAGCATTCAAACTCGATTGCTGGGCTTCTGTTGTACCAAGCGAAAGATATTGTTAAATTCGCAAAGTTCGTCAGTCAGGGGTGTCTCAACCCCATCACCTCCTCAGCATGAACAACTGCCATGTCCCTCAACCTTCCTCCGTTCTTGCTTCTTGGGATTCTCATATTGCCCTGCTGACTTCGCACTCTCACTCACCATGTGACTCCCGTCTTGCCGCCGCGGCGCCGCCCCTTCCCCCAGCCCCCCCCTGCCCTCTCCCTCGGGCTCCATTCCAATGTCGGTCGCTTCTGCCCGCAATGCGCGGCTCGATTTCGCGCCGTTGTCCGCGGCCCCATCCAACCCACCTGAATCCCCTCGCGTTTCTTTCGCTGCCGTGTCGCCACGCCCTCGCCGCTTTTCTTGCTCGTCGCTCTTCTTGGCTCAGCGTTGCCCCACGGCACGGCACCACCTGCTCGTAGTATGAACACCACGCAGAGCAAGCTTTCCCGAATGCACAACGTGCTAAGATTTCGGTGCACAAAAGCTGAGCTTCGTATTGAACACTCATCTCAATCGCTTGTTCCAATCTCCTCCCACCAGCTCTCGGAACGTTTCTTCTTCGAGCGTTGATCCGTCGAAAGCGTTCAGGCTCCGTTAATCTCTCAGGTTTCAGAATCCAAGGCAAGGCGCTCCGTAGTAACACTGCGGAAACCGGAAAACGGTATTCACGAGGTCTCACTCAAGCCGGATTGCTGCACGCAGAAGAGCCTCAGGGGGGGCTCGAACGGACACCTTACAAGACGGACCTCTACAAGCAGCAATTCAGGACAGAGGTGTACTAGGTAACATAAGTTCGTAACAACAAAAGAAGAAGAAAAAGGTTCCGTTCTTGTCATATCGCGAGGTATAGTGGGTTCTTATATTGAGGGTTGTTGGTAAAAGGCTCTCCGGCAATCCGTACGACCCGCTAATTCCTTCCCCCTCTTTCAGGGAGCTGGAAAAAGAACAGTGATATTCGGACGGAGGTTCTATCCCAAGGAGCGGCAGCATGGCGCCACGAGTTGCGCTTTTGGTCCCTGTGTTGGTGGCCCTTCTCTTAGGTATGTTACCATACCCAGATGACTTTTGAGTCGATTCAAAAGTCATAAGTCATCTTGTGGTCCCTATCTTGGTGGCCCTTCTCTTGGTGGCCTTTCCCCCAATCGTGCTTTACGTTTTCGGCAGAGTTGTTATTCTGCAACCTTCCATTCTCATGTCCCCCCCCCCCCTTCCCCCTCCCGTCCCCCCCCCCCCCTCTCCTCCCTTCTCTTCCCGTCCCGTCGCCGCCATCCCCCCTCCAACCTCCCCCCTGCCGTCCTCCCTCCCCCTTTTTTCTTCCCGTCCCCCCCTCCCCACTCTCATCCCCCCCTCCCCCCTTTCCGAAACTTCTTCCACTTCCAACCGACGCCACTTCCACTTCTTCCGCTTCCAGTGACACAAGTGGAGGTGAGTAAAGCAAGAGTCGAGAGGACAGTTAGTGAAGCGAGAGGAAAGCAAACGCTGCATGTTCAGCAGATTCAGCGCACAGAGTCAGCAGAGTCAACGCACAGAGTCAGCAGAGTCAACGCAGAGTCAGCTGAGCTCAACCCTCACTGTAACATTCTCTCTTTAATTCTAACAATCTTTCGTTATCTGTAGCACATAGCATATAGTAGGGCGCTCTCGTGTCTCGTCTCCAACCCGCATTCTTTGCCGCGCACACGGCCACCCCGTTCCTGGGCACTGCTCTCAAAGGTCCCTTTACTCCTCCGGCTCGCCCCTACTTGTCTGTCCCTCGGCCTCTGTGTGGGTGCTTTTCCTTGCAGGCTCGTTGGGTGCGTGTGGGTAGCAACTTCTTGAATCCATGGCGCTATGGCGTGGAAAAGTGGAAGCAGCCCACCGTGATAGTCGGCGATGAGCTGAGTGAGTGGCATGGCTGTCAGAAGTCTATTTTTAAGGCGCCTAAAAAATAGGCTGCCAGTAGTGGGACTTGCTGTGTTGTGAGTATCCGCTAGTGGACCATTCTTCCGAGGTGCATGTGAAAGGAAGTGCTCTTGTCCATGGCAGTACGGAGTGGACAAGTGGAGGCAGCCCACTGTGATCGTCCGCGATGAGCTGAGTGAGTTTTATGACTGTATCGAGTGTGATGGATAAACGGAGTGTGTTGACGGTGGACTGTGTCAAAAGCCTCTGGCAACTTGAAATACGGAGTTCACGGGTGGAAAAAGCCACTGAAATCGCTGCCCATTGGCCTTGTAGGCAGTTGGACTGTGTCCAAACTCTCAGAGCATGGGATGCTCCCAAAATCACTCTGCTTGGTTTATTGGGGTGTGGGATGCTCAGCCTTGCTGGCCGTGCAACGCTCTTGCCCAGCGTTGCTGGCCAGTCCACCTTTAGCACATGTATAGTGTTAGAGAGACCTCCATATCATGTGCCGCAAGCGCATCCGAACAGCAAGGTGGTAAGGTGGTACATGATAGTCAAGGTGGTAAGACATCCATACCACGAGGCACGTCCCCTGTCGTGGGACTAGCCATTTGTGTCACAAATAATAATCAAGGCATTCACATCACAAAGCCAGTGATCGAACTCGCAAGCAGGATGTGTTACCCCCTCCCGCTTGCAGCCGTCGTCAGCACCACAAAGCCATCTTTTCACATGCAGAGTCTCTTTTTTCACTCCCTTCCGCCTCCCACCCCCTTACGGTTGCTTGCTGTGCACAATCTGATTTTTCAATTGCTTTTTACAAACCTCTCACCCTGTCTTGGTTTTTATGAACCTCTATTGGGTCCTTCCGAAGTCACACTCTGCTTTTGAGTCGACTCAAAAGCAGCCACATTCTCCCCAAGTTTCTCTCCTCATCCGTTCTTTCCATTTTTCGGGGGGATAGCTATTCAAAACATGAGCCGGCTGTCTTCTAGGACGGATGACACGCCTTCACCTTTCAACCACAACTACCCTCACACGTACCCTCCTGGCTGACTCACTCCCTCATCCCCTGACCCCAGGTTCCAGGTGCAGAGCATCTTACAACACGGGGCAGCTGGGTTGTAGGATGGATAAAATCACGTCCAGCTGGCATTGTCTTCTTATAACCTACACCTACCCTCACCCCAGTTTTCAGGCAGGTTCGCTTTTGCAACGTGCAGGATCCAGTGAACTTTATCGCATACACCCACAATCACCATCTCCCCCTTCTCCCCCAACCCCCTCACACTCTCTTCCCCCCCACCCTGCTGTACCATCCTCCTCCCCGCGCCCCAGTATTCAGGTGGTTTGGCTGGTGCAACTTGCGGCAGATGCAGGGCCCAGTGAGCTTCACCACATGCACCTCCCCCGAACCCCCTCCCCTCCCCCCGAACCTCCCCTCCCCTCGCCCCAGTCTTCAGGTCTTGGTTCCAGCAACCTGAGGCAGTTCCAGGACCCTGTGAGCTACACCACATGCAACCCACGCCCACCCTCATAACCTTCTCTTCCCTGCCCTGCCCTGCGTTGCCCTGCGCTGCCCTGCCCTGCCCTGCCCCTCTCTCCAGTCTTCAGGTGGTTTGGCTTCCGCAACCTGAGGCAGTTCCAGGACCCAGTGAGCTACACCGCATGCAACTTCAACCTCGCATTGAACCTCCACCCCACGCAGTTTGTAGGCTTCTTCCGCTACCCTGTGCCGTCAAGCGACCGCTACACCACTCTTTACTTTGCGAGCAACAATAACGACGACTGCCAGCGCGGAATCAAGGCAAAGATCACCATCAGTTAGGTGTGGGTTACTGCAATCGCCACTCTTACTACACATCTCTGCCCCACCCCTTCGTGGGGTTCTACCCCTACCCTGTGCTGTCGAGTGATCGCTACACCACTCTCTACTATGCTAGCAACGCTAACGCCGACTGCAAGTGGGGATCAAGGCCAAGACCACCATCAGCTAGCTATCCCATTCCATACCGACACCTATCTGCCTGATGACCGTGATAAATATGTAGGATAAAGTGTCTGTAGTATGTAGAACAGGGGCTGGGATTCAGTGTACATTCCCGTCAGATCAGGTGAATAGCTGACGCTACATTTTGCTCTTGACATGCCATGCCTAGACATGACTCTTAGAATAACGCAGTGAACTAGAATGAGTGATACAGGGTGGTTTTTGTTGGGCTGAGAAAAAGCCCTAGGATCTTTTCAGAGACTAAGTCCCACTTGTATGAAGTGTTTGAGTAGTGCAGCGGAAGTGTTGAGTAGTTGAACCCTTGCACTATGTGAGAGCAAGTGATTGATTAGAAGGAACAAGCGTACAGCAATATATAGGAAGCAAGAAATGAAGCAGTTGTAGAATACAATTGAAGAAACAGTTATCGAGTCGCACAGCGACTCGATTGTCTGTTCGGTTACCATCCTTGCAGTCGCAACGGTCAATCGCAACCTCCGGTTGCGATCCTTCGAGTCCCTTCGTCCTTTCGTGTTCTTTCGTTCAACCTCCTCGTGTAACCTCCGTTGACTCGCGTACCCGATGCGACTTTTCTCGAGTGTAGTGTTATACTTCAGAAACGCTTAAAGCTAGTGGTCAAAATAATGAAGGCGGGCCCAACTTGAAAGGGCCCAGAAGTTCGTCGTAGCGACTAAGGGACAAACTGGTTGGGGCAGAGGGGTTCACTGTCGAGACATGCGAGCAGGGGAAACTGCGCGAGCATGAGCAGTTATTTGATTGGTTGGCGAGAAACCCCGTTTTGTTTGGTGGGAAACGTGGCATGAGCAGCACTTGGCGCGAACAAACTCAACTCGCAAATAGCGCGCGACCAGTCGTACAGTCCCCACTGCCCGCAAGTTAAACCAAGTGGGCCCAACTTGAATTTCAAGTTGGACCCGGGTTCACTACACCTGCTAAACCAAGGCTGGTTGCCGATTGGTCGAGATTATTGTCTGCGCATGCCAGTGGCTGTGCGATTTGTCACGATAAAATTCTCGTCGCAGGTGCAATTCGATTTCGTGGCCCAAGACAAGCAAAAAAAATCGGGCTGCTGCCCGACGCAAAGTAAAACATTCGCTCAAGGGTCGTTTCTAGTTGGGCCCAACTAGAAAGAGGGGTCACTATTTTTAACCTCTCGCTTTAAGTCTTCGAGGTATTTCCAACACTCCCCTTCGTTCTGGAGTGCTGACGTGTCCGGATTCGGTGACGTTTATCTGCCCGGTCAGCAGGATGCAGTAATCGAACTTTGCCTTTGCCAGTTTCTTCGTCAGGTAATCTGCAGCCATTTCTGTCGTGGGGCAGTAACTGAGTTGAAGTCTCCCCTTCGCGATCTCATCCTTGACGAAGAAATACCGCAGAGCAATGTGCTTGGTTCGATTGGCGAACCCGTTTTTGTTCCCGTTTTTGTTCCCGTTTTTGTTAACGAGAAGGCGGGCATGGTCGCAATTTTCGCTTCCTCGAGCAGCTCCCGCAGGTAAAGTCCTTCTTTGGTCGCAGAGCAGAGAGCGATGTATTCCGCTTCAGCCGAGGATAGCGCAATTAGTTCCTGCTTGCTCGATTGCCAGGAGATAGTCCCGATAGGCTCTAGTCGGTAGATGTAGCCCGCGTGGTCGGCATCGACATAGCCGAGTAGTTGTACGGACGATGGCGTTACTTTGCTGTAGGTAAGTCCGGTTGTCGGCGTAGAGACGAAGTAGAGTAGTGCCCGATTTAGCTCCTCGAGATCCTCTTGCTCCGGCTGCTTCAGGTGTGTCGCTAGTTGGCTCGTGCTGTAGGACAGATCCGGTCAACAGGTTACTGCTGCGAACAGTAGACAGCCGAGCTTCTGTTGATATTCCTGGATTTGCTTCGCAAGAAGCTTTGCGGAGGTGTCGCTGTTGTTCCCGTAGCGATAGGGAGTCGCGACAGCGACTGGCGTTAGTCCGAATTTCTTCGCGACAACGCCTGCGTACTTTCCAGCGTGTAGGTAGAACGCCGAGTCGTCTTCGACGACGTTCAGACCTAGGTACTGGCTTACGGTGTCTGAAACCGTGAGTGTTAAGTCACTCCTCAGCTCCCCTTCGAACCAGGTGACGACGTCAGTAGTGGAGCCGACGTAGAGCAGGTCATCGACGTAGACGATGAGTAGGACGAAGTCCCCCCCCTTCTGTAGTCGGTACATCCCTTGATCGTGCAGCAGTTGCAGGAAGCCGATTCTGACAAGGCGGTCGTGAAGGTGTTGCTACCAGAGCCGCGGGGCTTGTTTGATTCCGTAGAGGTATTTTACCAGCTAGCACACTTTTGCGGGATCGTCGATGAATCCGCGGGGCTGCTCGACGAAGATTTCGGCGTCCACAGGTGCGTAGAGGAAGGCGTTGGCGACATCGATCTGGCGTAGTGGTAGCTTTTTTGTGGGCGCGACGGCAAGCAGAATGCGCAGGGAGGTATGTCGGGAGACTGGGGCGAATGTCTCCATGTAGTCGGTTCCGTATCGCTGGTCGAATCCTCGTACGACCCAGCGAGTCTTGAAGCGGTCGATGGAGCCATCCGCATTAGTCTTGATGCGGTACACCCATTTCCCCGATTGCACATTCTTCCCGTTGGTTTTTGTTGTAGGTAACAGCTTCCACGTATTTCGGTCTTGCGGGGCCTTAAGTTCCTTTTCCATTGCTTCCTTCCATTTCGCCTTGTGTTCCCCCCCTAGAGCCTGCGACAGAGTCGTTGGCTCGCACGGCGACGGCGGCGGCGGGTTCTGGACGGCGACCCAGAGTCCAAGTATCTGCAGGCCCGTGGGTGTGTGTCGAGGGGAATTGTTATTCCCGGGATAAGCTGCTTCGTCACCATCTTCTGGGTCAGGTAAGAAATTGGGTCCGATGCGTTCAGATATATTTGTGTCGACCGGTTGAGGTGTAGTGTAACCTTGGTCAGCGAAGTGGTAATAGGTGTCGAGGTTGTTACTGTCGAGAGGATTGTCGTCTTCGAGTGGAACGGGCACGGAGCAGTAAGGGAGTGGTCCGGCAGCTTCCGAGGCTTCAGGTACGTCTTCTTCTGCTGCGTCAGCTTCAGCAGCATGGTCGGCGAAGGACCGATGGCCCTCGAAACCGTCGGTGGGGTCTGTTGTGTTTGCGATGTTGTCCAGGTAATGCTGCAGTGTCAGTCCCTCGTAGAAGATCACATCACGTGAGGCCACGGTGTCTTTGTCTTGGATGTCGAGAAGTTTCCATACTTGAAAATGTTTTGCGATGCCGAGGTGTAGTCCCCACCGTGCTCGTTGAGAGAATCGTCCTGCTCGAGCTGTGTGGGGTCTGTACTATACCATGCAGCCGAAGACTCAAAGTAATTTTGTGGTGCCCTATTTTCTTGTCCACAGCAGGTGCGGTGATGCGTTGTTGGGAAGTGGTGTCGAGGACAGCAAATTGTGCAGGTGGACTGCATGCGTTATTGCGTCAGGCCAAAGCGTGTTGTGCAGCCTCATCCCTAGGAGCAGCTTCCGCATCGTCGTTTGCGAGGTTCTGTTCATCCTCTCTGCGACCCCCTACTGCCGGTGAGCGTAGGGCAGAGACACCAGGCGTCTGATGCCTCTTTCTGTCAAGTAGTTCCTGAATCGTTGTGACTGGTACTCCAGTGCCCTGTCTGACTGGAAACTCGAGTTGCAAGCCCGATTCTCGTTCTGCGATAGGGAGCCACGTCGTGAAGGCTTCGAATGCTTGATCTCGTGTCTTGAGGTTGTAGTGCCAGACGTATTGTGTTGCTGCGTCGATGAATGTGATGACATAGTTGTACTCTGCTTCACTGTCGTCTCGAGGCATATTTAAGATGTTCCTAGCCGCTCGTTGTGAGGAGAGCGTGTTTTTCTACTCCGGCTTGTATGGTTTGTAGTACTGTGCTGTTTGCAGGGTGTCCGAGGCGTTGATGCCAGATGTCGTCGGGAGCGCGATGGCCGGGTGAGCGCTGGTACACGTCGGCGTTGGAGAAGAACGTGACGACCGTGGCGGGACTGCGGCAGACTCCTCGGGTGATGGGCATGAGTTGGTCTGCTTCGGATTGCGGTCCTCGAATTGCTGGCGATGGCGCGCGGCTGGGTCTTGCTGTTGTTACTACAGGTGATGTCGAGGAAGGTGTACTTGCTGGTACTTGTCGTTCTTGACGAATGATTGCTAATGTGCGGGTTCTTTCTGCTGCAGGGATGGTGTTAGAGTACCAGAATCCGTCTGGAGTGAAGTCAGGGTCAAGATCCAGCGGGTGCGTCCAGGCGGCGAACGACACGATGCCATCGCTGTCGGCAACTCCGCGGTCGGAGATGAAATCCAGCACGAAGACGCCCGACTTCAGGAGAGCGTGACTGATGAAGAGGTCGCCCTTCCCGTGGTAAAGTTGAAATTCGTTGGCGTTCGAGTCGCATTCCAGGTGGATTCCCTTTGCCATTAACTGGCTGACGCTTAGTAGATTGTATCCCAAGTTGTCGACGATGAGAACTTAGTTGAGTTGCAGTATGACGTTTGTCTCCATTGACTGAAGCTGAACGACGCCTTGTCTATTTGTTTTCAGATTCTTGTTGTTGGCGACGGTGATGATAACATCGCGGTTGAGGTGTCGCTCTCGTTGCACGAAGCGCCCGGAAGAACACATGTGTTGGCCGCAGCAGCTGTCCAAGAACCAGGTTTTTCGCCTGGTGGGTTCGGCGTTGGCGACTGCAGCGTACGTCGGGTTGACTTGGAGACCTTGTGAGCGTGGCGGCGGTAGTTCTTCTTCGTTTGGAGCGTAGGTGGGTGGTGACCCGGATGTGCAGTTGTCGATGCTTACCATGCAATTTATGATATTCGGTGCGCCTTGTGTCGGCGGGGAGGAACGGCTTGGCGGATTCTCTTGAGTGGAGGCGGCTTGCGGGTCTGCTGGACGATAAACTCGAGGGTGTGTGCAGTTGACTTTGGAGTGCCCGGATGTCTGGCAGTTGTGGCAGAACAGCGGCACGATGGTGAGTCCTCTGGTGTCGTGTCGGTTCTGCTTATCACGTCGGTTGTAGCTGTTGTCGTTTCTTCGTTGAGTATAGAAGACTAACGGTTGCTGCTTGTTTCTTGGTTGTCTTTCTTCAAACAGGTCCATCTCCTGTTGTTCGGCATGAAGCTCGGCGCAGAGGTGCATCTTCAAAATTCGTCCATGGGCGCGAAGGAGTGAGCGGGTGGTTCTCCATTCTGGTCCGAGCCCAGCGAGAACAAGTGTCACGAAGCTTTCCTCAGTGATTGTACCTCCGCACCGAAGCAGGCGGTCGCGGAGTGTCTGGCAGCGACTCATATACTGCAT